TTCGCGTATCTGCCAAGCGAGTGAAGTTACATAGTAAGATCGACGATTACGCTGTAGCAAAGGAAAGCTACGCGACAATGAGCTACCATAATTTATACTATATATATATAATTTAAGGTTTTAGATTTCCCATCTGTTATTCTCATTTAATATATATGAGTGCGTGAGAGTAAAGGCCTGCAACTATCTCACGTATTAGATCAAAATTTACTGTGCTCTATTAAGATTAGGGCAAAGTCATATGTCAGGATTAGAGTAGCAGGTAAGTATCAGCAGGATTATAATTATTTTAATCTGACGCAGATATTAATTTGACACACAACATATACATGAATACTTCTATGTAGAAAGGCTGAGAATTTTTGAGATAAGCCACTTAACAATAATAACTATACTAAAATTTTGAATAATTAAACAAACTTTATTGTTGGAACAATAAATTTGGCTTATCTCAATGCATTATTCTATATTCAGATACAGTTTTAGAGTTCTTTTACATATCATAATAAATATGAATTAACATTATAGATTTCATGCACTATGCTATAGTATAAATAAGTTTTAAGAGTTTTGGATTTATATACTGTATGAATTACTGTCTTCCTTCTTTGTTGGTTTGGTCAATTCATTATTATAGACCTACTAATGAAACCAATTAACAAAACCAAATAAAAATCCACTAACGAACCTGTTAACGAATCCATTAACAAACTCAAAAAAAAAATTAAGCACTGACCATTAATGATCAAAATTTTTTAAAAATTCTGTTGAAGTTGCTTATAAATCTTTTTAGCAATAGAATTTTACCATAAACCAGTTTTAATATGGATGATCATAATTATGGCAAAGACAGTATGATAGATCCTGATGAAGACAGTATGATAGGTCCCGATAAAGACAGTATGATAGGTCCCGATGAAGACAGTATGATAGGTCCCGATGACTCAGCTTCTATATTAGTTGGATCAGAAACATCAGAATCAATTACTGATGAATTAACTAATTCACAAAGATATAGATCTCCCATCTGGAAGCATTTTTCTTCATTAGAAAATGAAAAAAAGCTAGGTGTAATTATTGTAAAAATAAACTTAGCTATAAAAAAGGCAATGGAACATCTCACTTTCAGCATCACCTCAAATCATGCATAAAGTATCAAAAATCAGTAACTAATAGTGATTCATCAAGTCTACCAGAAGGTCAAACACAATTAGATCTTAGTAAATTCATAAAACGACCTTCAAAAATTCCAAGTAGAAAAGACATAGTTGACATAATAATTAGAGATGAACTAAGTTTTCAGTTTGTAGAGAAACTGGGTTTTCAAAAATTTCCTAATAGAGTGTTCCTAATTTCACTATTTGTGCTAATATGGTAAAGCGAGATGTTATGAGTGCCTATGATAAAAGAAAAGCTTTTATTAAAAAAGTTCTTCAAAATGTAAATGGTAAAATCTCTTTGACTTGTAATATTTGGACATCACTTCAGCAACTCGGGTATTTAGCAATCACTGCACACTTTATTGATAAAAACTGGAATCTTGTTTTTATTTTACTATCATTTAAATTGATCTCCTATCCCCATACTGGAGTTAATATTGCCAATTGTATTAAACCTGAAATGGATGAGTATTTAATTACTAATAATGTATATGTATAATTAGGGTTCCCAAAGTCGAATCGAATCGAATATTTTGTCAATTTGAATTTGATTTGATTTAAAATTTCTGTATTTGAATTTGATTTGATCAAATCAAATTCAAATCAAATCAAATTTATTGTAATTTTTATTAAGTATTTGTGAATCGAATCGAATATTTTGTCAATTTGAATTTGATTTGATTTGAAATTTCTGTATTTGAATTTGATTTGAGATCAA